GGGGGGGGGGGTTTAACACGTTTGGTATATACCCGTCAAAAGATGACTTCACTTACGCAGGTTAAATTCAAGTGATTTAATTAACTAAAATGCTATAGACAGAGCTAAAGTGTGTGTGTGCGTGTGTGTGTGTAAAGAATAACTTTACTACTGCTTTCGATAAAAAATGCAAATGGAAAACTGTATTGGTTAATATGTCACAAGGATAAGGTATGATTGACGGAAGATTGAAAGGTGTGATAATACCCGAGACAGTGTTCGACCCCGGTTCCAAAATGCCGACATTATCTACCGAGAGAAATCTAGACGCTTGCGAAAGACACTAAATCACATTTGACATGGTACTGACGGCGTATGAAAAAACGAAGCGACATATTTACCGACAACAGTCATAAAACAAGGTAAGTTTTCCGCGGTCAGTAAGGTCACAAAGTTATCACTAGTCCATGTTTCACTATTCGAAGACTGACATCCGTGACTACCATAACCAGAATTTGATGTTGAAGGCTTTAATACATGTCCATTTGTTGCCTAGGCGAGTGAATTAAAGATTATATTAACATCTATTTGAGGTCATTACAATAGTCTTTTTGATATTACACATTTAGACAAATGGAAGATCAAATAAAAATAATTTAATAAATGGGAAGGGCCTTTTTTACTTTGAGGTGCATTATGGATACGTTATGCCAACCCCTATCAGTGGGTGATTGGTATGGAGAGTATCTAACACCAATCCCATTTAGTGAGTATTTCTTTCCCCAACATTGAGTAGAGAGGGCGAGAGAGATGGAGTACCAAGGAGCATCCTGTTGGGGGACTCAAATTCGTACACCCCCTTATTAATGACACTCAATAAGTGCGGTAAGATATTCCACTCACTCGATTTTAAGGTTTAAGTAGACTGACTGAAAATTCAAAATATTCTAATCCGACAAAATGACTGATCTATATGCTAATAGTATCGATTCATAATTTACAACTATTGTGGTTATGCTCAAAATTAGTGGCATCACTTTTGACGCATAAAATAAATTTGTAAATGAAAGGAATATGCGCTATTTAGGGAAGATTAAATGGAGCATTTGAAATCAATTAAATTTTTTAGACATTACAAATAGTCTATCTTGAGGTCTTAAAGAAGCGAAGGTCATCAACGCCCAATATTTAATCTTCGCTTATTCTGATGTATGATTTGTTCAGCAATCGGACAAATTTGAACTGAATGAGTTCAAGAAAGTGCACATTAAAGCATCCGTAATTATAAATATATATGAAATCTGAGATTGCATAAATCTTATTAAAATCAACAGAAAAAAAATTTGTAAAACCTATTTGGGCTTACCAGGCGGAGGATCCGGTTTAGGAATTGGTGGAAGGGATTGCTGTGGAAGTAACTTCGGAGATTTCGGCGGATTGGGATAATTGACCATTGTTAAAAAGGCTGGCGGGGGTTGGGGAAGGGGTTGAGGTGGACCTAAAAATGGAGCATGTAGTTGCATGGGCCCCAGTTCAACTCCTAAAAATTGAGCACTCTCCATGGCAACCAGTAAATGAAAGTTGACCATCTGTAGGGTATGCTCAACTGAGTTAGTGGTCTACTTAGAAAGATACCGCAAGTGATTCTTATTGGCCGATGCATTATGTGGGATGAGGCGTATTGCTCGTTGATTGGTTCGCCCATGCGTGATAATTCGCATAAGTGATTATGCTGCATATTTTTCCCATTAATGCAAAACAGTTCCCTTTATAGTTATCCTGAATCCAACAAATCAATGCCAAAATAGGAGATCAAGCGAATAATGATAATAATTTTGAATTTATTGTTTTGAAAGAGCACAATTTCTATTTGTTATACCGTATTAACACCGCTGAAATGTTTTGATTGCGATTGTTTATTTATAAAATTCAACGTGTACTTTGAAACTTACCCATCACAGATGTCAACTGATCTTCGCGAAATTTCAGGATCTAACATAATCTAAAATGATTTTTTTAACGAAGCCATCAATAACTATTATTATTCAATCCTTTAAGGTCTGAATTATTTTTAGAAAATTACACCCAATCTCACTCACGCGTCTCACAGCTGACTGGTGAGTTTTGGCGGTATCAGGATAAGACTATAGACGTACTCAACACATTTCAAAGGACAGTAGGGTCCTCTGTTAAAAGTCCGATACCACTGCAGCTTGTTTTGAAGGAGATCCGTAGTGTCCTCAGGGCATTAAATGGTTAATTGATTATGAGCAAATTTAAGCAACACCTACTGTTCTCTTTCATATGAAACTGCAGTAGGTCCATAGGTGTCTTATCTAGTTGAGTTTTGATGATCAAAGCTTACTTCTACGCACTCTCCCAACTTCTAGCTCTTGGGTGATGTTCTTGTCCAATGCAGTTCCGGCAAGCAATCCAAAGATTTATTTCAAATGGCAGGCGTTCTGAGAGTTATCATTAGCCCTTTAGTTGACTTCAGGCTTCACAGAGGGAAGGTTCATCAAAGTAGCAGAAAGTCGAGGGGTGGGGAACAGAAGAGCGATTCACAGATGTAAAAGAAGCAGACAGACACAAAGATAGAGAAAAAGGTAGGGTGAGTACTGTGAAAGGGGTCGAATATGACAACCAGGGGGTCAATAGACTAGCCTCGCAGCCATGCTTTTAAATCTCTCAAACGTTACAATGTACTTTTAGGTATACAAAGATAAATTACTTCTCATGCCTAATAGAACTCCTCATTTTCAAGATTATTAGCTTCGTATTTCTACAAAACATAAGCTAATTAGCCCAATATAACCCCCCCCCCATCCCCTCCTGATCAAATGTACACATTCATGAACCATAAAAGCTATAATAATTAACCTTGGAAAGTTAAAATTTACATCTGAAAAAAGCTCAAAAATTGTACAAGTCAAATGTTGCTATTAATAAATACATTTTATAAGTATTTATTCAAAAATTAATTTGTCTTCAAAATGACTTAATGCTATAAGTTTTTTTAAAAAAAAACCATTAAATAACAATGCACAAAGCCACCTATCCTTAATTCCTGCCTTCGGATGCCCACCATGAAGAACAAAAAGAGGGAGATGAAATTATCCTTTAAAAATTCATGAATTTTCTTCCCCAAAAGTGGAATCTCTTTTTTGTCTAATTTGCATCAGGATGCGTCTTCTGCTACAAATACCTCCTCTTCTTCCACTGCTATTATTATTCCAAGTAAGCACCAAGGTTTTTCCATAGAGTCTGAGGAGAATTGACCGGGGGAGATTATGATGCTGAATTATTCAGGCAAATTTCCATACACGTGTGCGTGTGCGTTCTCTGCAGAAAACCTTCATGGCATCTACTTCGTTCGCCTCGCAATAATTATCATCAACCTATCAGGAAAGCTAGTGGTAAGTTACTGTTAATAGCCTTTGCCTAGATAGTTGAACTTACATATTAATTCGTGGAATACCGATTAATTATATCTCTATTTAATTAAATATAATTTAGCCAATCCTGATGCAAATTGTTGAAAGGGACATAAAAAGAAAGATTGAGAGTTATGAATATTTTTTATAATAATATACTGATAAATACTTACACATTTGATAATTGTGAGATAAGTTAATTAAATAAAAGATAAATATTTAATATTTGGTTTTGAAATAATAAATAGATCAATTTTGTGCCTCAGGCATAAACAACGAAAATAGTATTGTCGATATAAAGCGGTGTCCAATTATCAAGTTAAAGAATATCATGTCCAGATATCTAAATTACTAAACATTAGAATATAGTCAGTTTACCAAACTTATACCAAGTGGTACGTATCATGGAGTAAAATTTGCTAATTTGCTTCTGAGGTGTCCTATGAGTTTCAAATTCATTTGGCACCTAAGATAAAGGTGATTTAAAATGGAAACAGATAGATAATTGAATGTCTCTAAACGTCAGTGGTGCCGCTATTAACAGTGTTAGTGATTATGGATCCGATGCCCATGGATACACATCCAGTGATGGGAACAGAAAATTGTTTTGGTTTAATTTGGTTAATTGAGAGTGAGACAGAATTTGAGTTTCCTTCAAGGTTCATCAAAGTAACAGAAAGTAGAGGGGTGGGGAACAGAAGAGCGATTCACAGATGTAAAAGAGGCAGACAGACACAAAAGTCGAAAAAAGGTAAAATGAGCACTGTGGAAGGGGTCGAATATGACAAGCAGTGGGGCCATGGTAGTTTGAAGTCAGAAGGCAGCTGCCGGTTAATAGANCATTTTTAAACGATTTTGAACCGTCAATACATCTTGTCTTCTTTAATTTGTCGAACATGAGACTTGCGTAAATTGGTTACATTTCAATACATCGTCTATTTGTCAAATATTATCCATCCGAGTCAGTTCAAATGGTTTATTCAATTCACAGCTTGCCTAACTATTCTTGTTTTTTGCCACATTCAGGTGTAGGTATAAAATCTTAGTAAATTTTCTTATGGCTTGGGGTGCGCTCTATTTTTAATGACTTTTTTATACTTGTAATTATTTCATTTTCTATTTCTAGATTACTGTCTTCCTATTGAATAGTTTTATCCGTCTTTCCTGGTTCGTTAATATCAAGGTGTTATTTATTTATTTATTTATTTCAAATGGCAGGCGTTTTGATAGCTATCATTAGCCATTTAGCTGACTTCGGGTTCATCAAATTAGAAGAAAGTCGAGGGGTGGGGAACAGAAGAGCGATTCACAGATGTAAAAGAGGCAGACAGACACAAAAGTCGAAAAAAGGTAAAATGAGCACTGTGGAAGGGGTCGAATATGACAAGCAGTGGGGCCATGGTAGTTTGAAGTCAGAAGGCAGCTGCCGGTTAATAGACTTTTTTGCCGTATGAGTATACGTTGCCCAGGGTGCACCATGTGGAGGTAAGTCTATCGCACACCCCTCCCTCCCAACATTATGTTTCTATCTTTCACCAAGAAATTTTCATTGTGTTTCTATACACAGCCTTTTGCCTACTCTACTACTTCAGTCGTCGGCCGTGTGAAATGATAATTTAAACCGATAATTAGTACTAGTATTTAATTTTATAATAAAAATCTAATAGAATAACACTTAAATCAATGGATAATGAAATGCACAAGTGGTGAAAATAAATCGATTTTGAGCTAACTGTACGCAGAAGGAAAACAAATGTTAGAAAATTCGTTTTAGTGAGACCTGGGTGAAAAATAGAAATAATAATATGTCCCGAAGATGACGGACTTTCCGCTTAACTTGAGGTATCCCCAGTTAGTCATGCGTAAGCGGAGAAATTAGCATATTCCTTGCCGAGGTCCACTTAGATTCTTAACAAAGTTGAGACGGTGTTCGAGAGAAATTTATTCCGATTTTATAATATCTTCAAAGCACAGATGATTCTGCTGCTTTCCCTGAATATGAACACGATGGCCCATTTCTTCCCCATAAACGAAATATTTAATAAATCCTGAAGATATATTTTATTCAAAATTAAAGCAAAGCCATATTGGAATTTTCAAAAAAAATTATTTTAATTTAATTTGCAGTAATGTATTTTAATTTCAATGAATGAAATTGTTTTAATTACACTTCCTCTAAACTACGATCTCCCTTCTTACGATCACTTAGTTATGTACTTAAAAAATGTGGGATTCCAAGAACTATTTGTTCTTGACTTAGTCCTGAAAGCAAAGGTTTTCTATCTTTTATGCTTGTCTTGCATCAAAGAACTGCTGGTTGTTATAGGTGAGGTTGCGCAGTTAGTTCGCCCGATTTAACACTGTATTTAATCTCCCATCACATGTCAATGGTCAATGTTGCCGAATTCGTACTTAATGGCTACGTTCCGTATCAGTGTCACACAGCCTAAATAAGCCTATTTCACATCATGCGCCAGTTTCCTCTTTATCTTTGAAGCAGCTTAGCTAATGCCGAGAGCCATTCCAAGCCAGTAGATCTAGTCACAGAGATTGTTGAGTATAAGTCAAGCAAATTAGTGGTTCATTTCGCCCCACTTCCCAAAATTTTCTTCAGAAACAAGGTTCTCCAATCTGGATTGCCATAAGAGCGTTCATTTGATGAAGTTTTATTCTAAGAGGAATATAAATTTTTGCGTCATCAAATGCAAAAATAAACGTATTTAGTGCATTAGTAAACACTGGCTCCCATTTAAATTTTGATTTTGATTTTCAGTTTTCAATCACAGCTGTGAGGAATGGAGCTCCAAATATTTTTTTCCTTAATTAGTAAGGAGGGCAGTATGAGGTCACAAATATCCCATTACTCACTTAATGAAGTGTTTAGGAGTGTTGCATAATTTGATTATCTTCTCAACCAATTATGATAATTGAAGTTGTCATATTGAGGTTATGGATAAACAGCCACCCAAATTTGTCAAGTAGGACAGAAATCAGAGAAGGAAGGCTAAATTAATAAAATCAACCACAAATTAAGAAGCTCTAAACTAGAACAGAAATTCCAATTAGCAAAATTATAAAAGTCACATTCGGCGATCATAGATTTTTTATTTGTAAAAAATTGACATTTTACAACCGCTCTCTAGATTAATAATAGT